ACTGTCCTGTATGGCTTCGAGTGCAATTCGACGGCGCCTAAGTTCGGAATTCATGGCATTTATTCTGGAAGATAGATCGTCTCGATGCCCGAGTTGGCAAAGTGCGTCAATATGCTCCTGGACTGGTGAAATAGAACGACGTTGAGGTGAAAATTGGCTGATACTTGAAATCGAACCGTGTTTACTTGCTAATGACTCCAGTGAATCGATATAAAGTTCTTGGGCCTCCTGGAAGCTATGCGCAATGTCCAAGGCCTCAGTGAGTCTTTCGATAACGTCGATGTTTTGGTTTTTCTCTATCTCCGCTTGCGTATTACTCTTCTGCAATGCATTGATATCCTTCCTCAAACCAGAGGCAGCTGACTCGAGGAACTGGAACCCTTCCATATTCAGTGAAATGACTATTAACCTTAACGCATAGAAACAAAAGCATTAGTAATTGAATTTTGCATTTTAATCTATACGTACTCTTTCGTGATACACTGTGTCCTGAGTCAGCCGTGTGAAGCAGATGGGCGCAAGAATGAATGGGCGTAGGCAGTACGTCGAATTGCACTCGAAGCCATACAGGACAGTATCATGAGTCGTCGAGACCTCATCATGATACTGAGAAACAAGGTCTTCAGTCTCATCGGCGAGTATTGTCCGTTTATGAGACTGCCTATAGAAATAATGGTTCAAATATTTCAACTTCGAGTTTCTCAGGATGTAGAAACTTATCTGGATAAAGCATCTCAAGAAGTAAAAGCCTATCTGGCTCATTCAGAGGAGCACCTACCCTTCCCCTGTACCGCACTCACATTGTCCCATGTCTGTTGGTCTTGGAGGCTGATAGCTAACGGTCACCCTAGACTGTGGTGCAATATCGGTGTCTATTCTAATCATAGGTGGAACCCGAGGAAGATCAATCTGTTCGAGCATTATTTAGAACATTCGGAAAGGTCCTCGCTTGAGATATATATGCAAATAGAGGAGAAAAAAGAGCGTCGCATCTCTCGTCCCAAAGTTCCTGATCTACCAGACAGCTGCAACCTTCATTTCATCATGAGGTCGACGCTTAATAGGCTTGCAGAGCTTCCTTTTCAATTCAAGTCACCGAAATCACTCAATTTCTACTATACTGGTAATGGGAGACTACCAGGTCGGCATGTAAGCGATCTGGTCCGGTCCCATTCGGTCAGTCGGGTCACCATTAATGGGTCTTTTAATACCATCCGAGACCACTTACCTACAAGTCTTACTCATTTAGCGCTTTATGTGCCTGAGAGAATATGTAGCACGAGGTTGTCCAGGAGTCTTAAGTCTATTGAAGAACTCCGCTTCGTGAATGATGAACTGATCATCGATCCAGATCTTACGAAGATATTCACTCTCTCCAATCTCAAAGTCTTGGGAATCACACCCTCACATAAACGCCTCTCACAGCTACTTCAGCTTCCTGCGCTGGAGAGTGTAATATTCTATCCAATGTCACCCTCCAATTATCATCACAGCGCGTCTTTCGATTCGCTTGCGTTATTGGTCAGCAATGCGACCAATCTCCATTTACATGGCTGGCCCAAGAGAGAATCTTCTTCACCAAGCGGCTCGGCTTCCGCATTTGCAGCCGAACTGCTACGACATCCAACCAAGTTTACAAGCGTTATTTTCTCTCACTGCTTTGTCACTTGCCCATTTCTTATTCAACCATTACCCGGAATCATAGCACAGGGAACAGGGAGTGGTGCAATGCTCATGGAAATTCACTTTGATAATTGCACAGGTGTCAAAGAGAGCGATTGTATTCAGCTACGTCGAGAAGTAAACCAAGTCACGGTGTCCATTTAGAGTGACTCTAGGTAATTCCAAAGGCTCACAATCTCTTTACCTATCTCTCAATTACACATCATCCTTGTTTTGGATATTGTATATCATTCATGCACAAGTGCGACTGCTTCGAATGTCACCTCAGCTTTTATTTTAGGATCCTTTCACAACGACTCTCGCGCACATTCTGGTTAGATTTTCCGATAACA